TACACACACACACACACACACACACACACACACACACACACACACACACACACACACACAATACAGTAAAGTAATTCCTTTATTCATCTGAATGTTAGCAATGCCTTCAAGATGATGAAGTACCTACTGCTACAACCTCCTGATTTTCACATACTCCTGATTTTTTCACATAAAGAGCCAAGGTCTATGTTAATATGAGCTCAATATGAGCTCAAATTTCATCATATACTTCTTTAAATGTTATTTTCAGTCTAGTGGTTCTCAACCCATATAGGATGGAATGAACTGCTTCCATTATGAAGGAAGTGTAGCAATAGTTGAGACATAATGGCAAGACTCATACACAGCAAGTGAAGGCCTTCTGTATCTTAAATGAATGTGGGTAATACTTTGTATGTTCTAAAACAGTGGTTTTCCACCTGTGGGTCATGACCCATTTGGGGGGTCACTTATCAGATATCTTGTATATCAAATATTTACTATATTATTCACAACAATAGCAACATTACAGATATGAAATAATAACAAAATAATTTTATGGTTGAGGGCCACCACAGCCTAGGGAACTATATTAAAGGGTCACAGCATTAGGAAGGATGAAAACCACTGCAATCTTCCTTTCTAAAGTATCTACTCTTCTTTTTATATAGAATTACACATTTTTTAGCTTATATAAATCCTTATTCACCTTTATCTCCCATTTGCTTATGATAATTCTCATGACACCAGGCTTTTTTTAACTGTTTATATTTTTATTTTAGAAGAATTTACATATCAATCCCCTCTTTCCCTCACCCTTCCATCCTCCCATGATCCCCACAGATCCCCCCAACCCACTCCACAAGGATAGTGAGGCCCTCCAAAAAGGACCATCAAAATCCTTCAGATCATTTGGGGGAAGTCCTGGGCCCAATTTCTTGTATCTGCACTGTAATAGTATCCCTCCATAGAGAATGGGCTCCCAAAGTCCATATGTGCTCTAGGGGTAAACACTGGACACCAAGGTTTGTGAAAAAATGTAAAGCCAATATTAGCAACATGTCTTCTTTAGAATGAATGGCTGGATGGATATAGGGGCTCTGTTTTATTAAGGACCTTTCAAATGAGACAGGATTGTTCTGTTGTTGTTACTTATGCTTGTAACTTATGTTGCTTATGTTTCTGAAGCCCTCACACAATTAAGAATCTTGATCAAGATGTGCTCTGATTGTAGCACTGACTAAATTCAAGGCAAAAAATAACTTTTACTAGATTTTAATCTCTAGGGGGAGCTGGGTTGTCTATTTTATTTGATACTCTTAGTGCAAATGATAGCAAGGAAATTGGTGTTGTCATGATTTCACACTTATAAATCATTTTTAGAGAAGAGTTCTCTAGAAAAGATCCATCTACCCTTCATATAGGTCTGATAAACACTGTTTCAGGTGATTTAAAACATCTTATAAGGGAATAGACAACAAAACCCAGTCCCATTCGTGTTCCTTTAGGAAAGAGGTTGGATTTTCTGTATTTGATAGTATGTCCCTGTTGTCTTCCCTACAGCTTTATACCACTCAGCTGAGACTCTTTCCCAGCTTGCACAGCCAGTAAGTACATCATTTCTTGCTAAATGTTTTTCAGAATCTCCATATAGCCCCAGGGTCTATAGCTTTCACAATAATGAAATTTAAATGTGAGTTTCTTTTCACAGCCTGATGATTAGGGGAAAAAATGTACTCTAGAAGGTACACTCTTCTAAATAATACTTCTACAAAAAGAGCATATCACAAAAACAAAGAAGCAAACAAATAACATGTCTCAAAAGTACTCGGGAAGCTTTATTTCATACCAAAAAGTCTGCTGTGAATCGATCTTTCCTAGAAATGGCTGCATAAAAAAGACTAGAACAATGGTAATACAAAAGACTTGTTAAAGTGAAGGGGGATTTCAAAGAGTCTCATGCCTAGACAAAGAACTACAGGCAACTAATGACTTCTGGGAGAGGGAGACTTGGACTCTTCTAGGCATGAGACCCCTGAGATTTCTTATTGATTGTCAAATACAGAGTGGCAAGACTTTAAACTATACATACCCAGTTATCATTTTAAAAATGCTTACATTCTAACTGGGTTAGGAAGACAGCCATATAAAGAACTTAGTTAAATTTCATTATAAAATTTCATTCCAGTTAATGGCCATTATTGTAAAAGTATCATTTGTATTTTCATTAGAACATCATGGTAAAATTAAGCTCTTTTAGATGAATTTGATGTTGGAGATGGCTTGTACCATATAGTGATGACATATTTGTGATGTGACCACATTATGAAACATGAAGCAACTTGAACTATTAATGTCCATTCTTAATAATTGTTTTCAGGTGCATATTTTAAGATTATATATAGTGAGTTTCTCTGCAACCTCAAGATTTGGATTCCCAGTGATCTATATTAAAATCACCATCGAAGGTATAAGGTTTGTTGGTACTTTGTTGGTACCTAGTTTGTTAGCACCACCATAACCAGGCAATAAACTTGACAGTTTAACAAGGAGAAAGGTGTTGCTGCTTCATTATTCTTATTTTTGGAGTTCTAACACAAGGTGTTATCAAGTACTTGTGGGAAATCCAGTCTACTCTTGTAGAAGTTTCTGGAGTTGGAGTCGTTACTTTTTATATTTCTTGTCTTATTGTAGTAGCACTCAGACATGTGACCCCAGCTTTCCCTGGTCTTGTGTGTGAGCATTGCGTATTTAGAAGAACATAGTTCTATTGAATTACACTCGATCCCCACAATCTCATGTTACTATAACTACATTTGCAATATAATTACTCAAGTAAGGATGCATCTTGAGATACTGATGATTAGGTCTGTAACTTACAAATTCAACCCACAGCATTTATTACATGTTACTTTCTTGCCTTTTGTTAGCCCCATTACTACCCAAGTCATGAAAGAGAGTAATGTTCTCACTTTAGAGAACAAAAAAGAAAAAGAAAAAAAAGGGACTTCAGTGGATTAAGATATTACCCAGAGTTCCTGGGCAGTGGTGGCACACACCTTTAATTCTAGCACTTGGGAGGCAGAGGCAGATAGACCTCTGTGAATTCTAGTTCAGCCTGTTCTAAAAAGAGAGTTCTAGGACAGCTATGGCTGTTACACAGAGTAACCCTGACTGGAAAAGCAAACAAACAAACAGAAAAAGAAAAAAAAGAAATTACCCAGAGTCACTGAAGTGACAAATGGAAGATCCATTTGTCCAGATGGATCCAAATTCCATGTCCTTAGAATGACATTTTGTTAACTTCTCTAAAAATACTACTTTCAAACAAGTTTCAGGTGACATGTATCAGAAGGTAACAATACTTATTCTCAAGAAGTCAGTATTCATAATGCAAGCACAGTAGGGAAATATAAACTGATATGAGCAATAGGAGGAGGGAAAGTAATAGGGTAGTGAGATGGTAAGCAGACACTTAAAAGGCAGGATTGCTATGTATCCCTCCAAGCTTTCGCTGACGACTTCTCTGTTGCTCTGGGATACACAGTAAATGAAAAGTAATATCCAAAGTTGGTTTTTCAAAGTCATAATTCACAAAGCCTGTTGTAACAGAGACAGTCTCCCAAATGATCACTGTTCATAAGACTTCCTCTATCCACACAACTTTTCCATCACCCTTTTTAAAACTTCTAGAACCATATAATTTATTTTTTGAGAATTAAGTATGGGGAGATAGGTAACACTGTAGAAACTTTCTAAGCAGTAACTTTTATTGCCAGCATGTAATATTCAGGTATTTCACAAATGTATAACTTTGATCTCTCTATAGTTCTCATTATTCACATACAAAGTTGACTTTGGTCATGGAGGAACAGGGATTTTCTGGCAACATATCACTTAGTATTACATTAGTTTTCTCAATATTGCTTCTCTCTTTTACTTATCAAGGTTCCAAAGTGTAAGCTAGTTCAGAAGTGCACCCTCATTCTTGTGGTTAGGAATCATCAAGAAAACCTGCTTCCTGGACCTATGGCCAAAATTACTGGGGAAAAATGGTTCAACTACTTGCTCTAACAACTACTTTGTTCTTGGAACTAAACTAGACCACATAGTTTACTTATTAAAACTAATGGCTTACTACTCAAGATTCACCCAAACTGTATGCCCATTCATGATAGTCAAAAGCTTTTCTATTGTAACTTCAGTCCAATCCTAGAGGTAAAATTATGTCCCCTTTGTGAACATAATGCTCAAGATACAGAGAAATTAAAAGCAAAATTAACTTTGACACTATGTGAATAAATCCCGCAGATTTAAAAAGTCATGTTTATTATTTCGTGTTAAACTGTTCCTTTGATACAATATTGAAGCAGTAATTTACTACCTGGGTGACATATAATTTAATACTCTGCAAAAAAAATCTACAAAGGAAAACAACAAATTATCACCATTGTGTATTTCATTATACCTTAAAAATAAGGATTGCATTTTCAACATTTTTATTGTCACTCGTTTTGTGGTGAGGTTGTTTTCTCTTTGTTGGCAAAGACTGGGTGGCATTCATTTGTTGCCTTTCACTGAAGAGACCTGGAAATAGGGACATGGCATATAGTCATATGTATTTGTTGAAAGCATGAATGAGTGAGTGGGTGTGTGAGTGAGTGAATGAATGAGTGGAGGGTCCTGAAAATTAAATGATATAGTTCATTGTTTAAAAAGAACACACTGTTCCACTGCATTCATTGTTAAATACTCATGTTTCTCATAATGATGCCTGTACTCCCTTGTCTTTTTGATCATATAATGCCCTTCTGTTACTGCCCATATTCCTTAAGCAGAAAACTAGCTTTCAACAGGCAGTCAAAAGAACAAACACAGCAGTAGTGATGGGTCATCACTCCTAGTTGAGAGTTTAGGGGCATAAAATAACCCAAGTTAATTTGCAAATAGAGTTAAATGGAACAGCAAATTCATTATCAGTCTAACTATATTTGTGGACAAATGTGTCATTTACCATAATGTTCATGGGAACACACAGTACAGCACAGGATATGGGTTGCAACACTGAAGAGTGGGATACTTGGGAGAAATTAGAAATGTCATGCATCTCAGTAAGAAAGCAGCCAGAAACAGTTTCCAATTGTTCTAATAACTGAAAGTGTTGCAGACTTTTGTCCCATACTTTGCTGTTCACTGATAGATTTTTTTTTATTGAGTCTAACCTCAGAAAGCCAGTACCATTGTTAAACTGCTCCAATTTCTATTCACCCCATTCTGTTTCCTTCCCTGTATACCAGCACTGGGGTGGGACTCTAGTATTTCTAAGGGCCTGTAAAACACTTTCTTGCTTAGTAGACCATGAGCACAAACACTGGTACTTTTGTCTCTCTTGAGTTGAATGAGGAGACCAGAAACTTCCTCAACCCTTTAGTTAAACTTTTAAATTGGTCTTGCCAGGCTGTGCTGTGGAGTCTTTAAGTAAATGGGTGGTCTTGCTGACATGTGCTGTTAAAACAGTGCCAAATGCTCCTTCGAGACAGCTTCTTCCAGAGTAAACCCTTGTTGAAGGAAATATTTTAATTTCATCACGTTACCCTGTGTAATTAGCACACTCACGGTACCCAAGTGGACCATTTAAAGGGCCTGACAAAATGCTTAAGTGGCACCTTAGCATCCTAAACGAATGAATAAAATTGTTTCTTCCTATGTCTCTCAATGCATTTGAAAACATTCTCTAACTTTGTTTCTCACACTATTCCCACAGGATTCAGAGGAGATACATGATCAGTTCTGGCATGACAACACTGAGTTCTTTTACCAGCTGTAAAGATCTCCGTGATTCTTTGTAGCATTTTTGAGTATCACAAAATTACAGTACAAAAGGCAGAGGTTGTGGAATATCCCATGGTGAAATGTAAAACAAAAACAATAATAAACCCTCTGTTTATGTGCACAACAAAAGATACACAGCTAGTGCTTCTACAGCTGTAGAGATTCATGAAATTTTTCCTCATGAATCTGGGCTTCTCATTTTTATTCACTTAATATATCGTGAGATATTTCTGAAATAAAAACTCCTTTTTGTTAATGTGATTTAAATATGTGTAACATTGCTACATGATTCAGGAAATCCACTTTTAAATAATTGTCTGTAGCAATAGTTTTGTAGATGATTATTTATGTTGAAATATTAGTCTTCCCTCATAATACATCCCAAGAAGAAGAAACTGTAGGTTGAAAGTATGCCTATGCTTGATAACTATTGACAAGATATGAATATATTGATGGAAAGAATTATATTCCATGACAACTCTGAGGATATGGCAATCAACCCATCTGCTGCCAACCTTAGATAAACACTTGAAAGGAATAAGAAAATTATTTCAAAGCTACACAGAGAAACCATATCTCAAAAAACCAAAAAAGAAAAAAGGAAAAAGAAAAAGAAAATTACTTTAAGGTCTATATTTTCGTGTTCTAAGAGCATGACTGTGTTTGTTTCTAAACTTTCTATTAGGTTCTAAGATGTAAATTCTTGGTTCATAAATATGAATATCAAAATCGAGCTTTAAATCTCTTAATTGGAAACCATTATGCAAGATATTTT